AGGCAAAGTAGGAGGGAGGACAGCAGATGAAGTCAAAGAGATCAGGGGAGCTAAACTGTGGCTGTTCTCCAAGCCATTGTGAGGAATTTGACTTGGACTTTGAGTGATATGGTATATACCCTGATCAATCTGCCATAATAAAATACCACGGAGTGGGTAGCTTAAACAACAGGAATGTATTTTCTCATGGTTCTAATGGCTATAACGCTGATATCAGTGTGAATACATGGTCAGTTTTTGATGAGTCTTCTATTTCTGATTTGAAGATGGCTTCCATTTTGCTATGTTCTTGCATGAAATAGAGCTTTCTGGTGTCTCTTCGTATAAGGTCATCAGGGTTCCAGCATTAGGACCTCACCTAAAACTAACTGCCCTCCAGAGGCCTGTCTCTAAATGCCATCTACTATGGTATGAATGTTTTTGTACCTCCAAAATGCATGCTGAAATCCTAACTCCCAAGGTGATAGCATTAGAAGGTGGGACCTTTAGCAGGGGATTAGGCCATGAAGGCTGTGCCCTCGTGAGTGAGAACAGTGCTCTCATCAAAGAGGGCCAAGAAAGACTCCTTTTCTTTTCACTGTGGAAGACATAGAAGAAGGTCTTATTTATGAACCAAGAATGAAGGCATCACCAATAGAATTATGTGGGGTAGAGAGAAAGGGAGAAGTGAAGAAAGTCTCAGAATTTAAACATAAATATAAAGAGTGTATTTTCTATTAATAGAGGTGAAAAATCTATAGTTGCCAAAGATTTGGGAAAGATCTAAGTAGGAGTTATGTTTTAGATACAGTTAAGCTTGAAGCATCTATTAGCAATCCAAACAAAAATAGGCCATTGAAAGGCAAGCCAGAGTCCTCAGGTTTGGGTGATGTCAATATTTAAATCTTTATTATCAGGTGGACATTCTGGTACATGTCTATAATTCCAACTACTGCAGAGGCAGGAGTAGAAGGGTCATACATTCTAGGGCAGCCTGAGTAATGTAATGAGTCTTTTTCTCAAAATAAAATATTAAAAAAGATTGAGAGTATATCTCAGTGGTTCAGCACTACTAGGTAGTGTTCACAATACTTCTAAAAAACAAGTCTTATCATCATGTAAAAACTAAGGGAGTGAAGGTTTATAATAGAAGTAGAAAAAATGACGCTTGGGGGACTATAATTTTTTTTTTTGTTTGGTATCGGGGATTGAACTTGGGACCTTGTACTTGCGAGGCAGACAGCGGCACCACTGAGCTAAATCCCCAGCCCCGGGGGACTATAATATCAATAGTTTGATGGGCCGGGGATTTAGCTCAGTGGTTTCGCTCCCTGCTCTGCAAGCACAAGGACCCAAGTTCGATCCCTGGTACCAAAAAAAAAAAAAGACATTAATAGTTTGAAAAAAATGAAACAAAACAGGAAAGGATATTAAAAGCAAGAATATGAGAAAACCAAGAGTGGAATCCTGTAAGCCAAATGAAGAAAGCATTTATGGAAACTAAAGTGAAAAACAGGAGAACTGAAAATAATCCAAATATTCACTTGGGAATGGATAAGCAGAATATTATTTGTTCATACAATTTATCTATACAAGTGCTATTCAGCAATATAAAGTAAAAAGCTCTTACATAACATAATATAAATGAAGTTGAGAAAAATTATGCTGAGAAGCCAACCACACACACACATGCACACAAACACACAATGCATGATTCCACTCAAATAAAATATCTAGAAAAAACAACAAATGAATAGGTAGAGAAAAAGTATATTTATACACAATGGAGTACTACTCTGGCATTAAGAAGGATAAACTTGAATCATTTGTAGGAAAATGGATGTTCCTTGAGACCATAATGTTAAGTGAAAAAAATCAGATACACAACCTTGAGTATCACATAGTTTTCCTTATATGAGAATCTCAAGATATAAACAAATAATAAAATACAAGATAACAGAAAAATAGATCTTTTGCAAAAGGAAAAAGGACCAAGAGATAGGCATGAGAGGGAGGACAGGGAAAGAGTATGAAAAAAATTAATACGTGCAATATACATGTACTAACTCCCCATGATGAGTATTATGTACTGCAAACATGTACTAAAAGAAGACGGACAGCATATTAGGAAGACAGACAGAATATTAGTAATTGCCATAGACATGGATGAGAGAGGGTTTCAATGACTTTTTAAAGTGATGAAAATGTTCTAAGACTGAGTTTTTGCTGATAGTGGCACAGCTATATCAATTAATAAAATTCACTGAAACCATTTAAAATGGGAAAATTTTATGGGATATAAATTTCAATTCAATAAATCTGCTAGAGGGATAGGGAAAGAGACAGAGATGGGATGATGTGGGGAGAGAATGGGATGAATGGAATTTGATAGAGTATGTACAAAACTATGGAAGTGTTTTTTAGTAGAGCAGGAAAATGAAGTAGTAGCTGAAAGAACATGAGTTAAGAGTTCTGCTTTTTCTGATGGAGGAAAGAAAAACAGTCAAAACAATCTGGTAAAGTTGCAGATGAAAGAAGGGAAAATTGTGAATTGATTTGTTTAGGTAAAAAAATAGAGAAAAAAATGATGAACTACAGCACATAAATGGAGGGTTGGCCTTACAAGTGCAACAATGCAGGCATTTCACTAACCAAAGGAAGAGAGTGCATAGCTACAAACTCCAAGGGGTGTTTCCCTTGGGATGGAGGGCTTCTGGGGATATCTTCCCATTGCTTTGCTTTTCAAAGTGAAATAGGACGCAGGGTTATCACCTGAGAGTAAGGATGGGAAAGGTATACTGAAATGCGATAAAGGCATAATAAAACCAATGGGTATTTTTAAAATTTATGGTCAGCATTAAGGAGCACTTGAGGTTTACAATTTGTACTTTAAGTTGAGACTACTTTGCATAAATCTTGTTTGTGTTTTAACTTTTTAAAATCATATTAAGGTGAAAAGGCTCTGGCATGTAGTAGGTTGAGAGTTGGATTTACAACAAGATTAAGATTTTGCCAACAGTCAAGTCTACCTAATGAAGCAAAAGAGGAACAACAGAATTGATGTATGTAAGAAAATAGTAATGACTAAAGGAGAAAAGTGAGAATCAATGGAGGGAATGTAGAGTGAAAGGGACAGTATCAATGATTTGTAAATTTCCATGAGACGAAGAAAGATCTTCTAGCATCAGGGCACAGGAAGGAATAAAAAGAAAATAGTATACACTGAAGTAGTCAGAAAATAAGAGGCCTATAAATACTCCAACTAAAGGATTGCAGGTGTTGGTAAAACAGATCCAGTGCCAAGGTTGGTGTAAAACAAGTAAAATGCTGAATAGTCACATTACTTTTGCATGCTTATCTCAATCAGATATCACCTTATTTAGTAAATATTCAGCACATATTCTTATCTCATTTTTGCTTTATTACATATCCAATCCATTATACTATTTTTCCCATAGGAAAACCGTGTGTAGATTTCTCTGCCAAATGGACAATTTATCTATGTGTAATATAACAATTTCACTTTCTGTTAAAATACATGTTTGAACAACCTTGCAATATAGATTATACCTGAGAAAATCTTGCTTTTTCATAGTTTTCATATTTTAACTCCTGTCAGTCTGGTAAAGAATTTGTTCATCCTCTATAGAGCACAAAATGTTCTCCCTCCTTCTCCTTTGTCTAATCACTGACAATTATTTATCTAATCTTACTCTGTGAACCAAACATGCCTAATCACCAATATTGATATAATCTATATGCATGCTACTCAAGTTCTCTGAACTTGTTCTAAATTGTTGCCTTGTCAGCTAAAACATTAAAATATATGTTTCCTTGAAAAAAATACATCTGGATTTAGATGCAGGTGAGATTATATGTGTTTACTATAAATTTCCCAAACTGCTCACAGAAAGATTGGAATGACAAAATTAATATATAGGTACAAGGTGGTATAACTCTCAAATTATTCCGAATTGTTATTTTATATGAATTTTAAAGCAAAAAATTGCAAAAATATTTCCCTTTTGAAATGTGATGTAGTTTATTTTCAATTTAAAAAATTAGAAAAATGTTCAGATCAAGGTGAGAAACCTTAGGAAAGTTGATTAGAGTCTTCCATTAATTTGTTAAAAATTATCTATGCTAAAATCTAAATGAGCTCTGTAACTAAACTGATAATATACCTGCAAAGTTAGCTGTCCCACTAAGTAATGGAAAATTTATTGTGATACCAGAACCTTCTATTCTGTTTCCAGTGGTTCACTAAGGGCTTCATTATTTGATATATACACTCTCTCATGTTTTCCCTATTTCTTTCTCCCCTCTATCATATTGCATTATAGAGAAACTATGCTGAAGTACAAAGTGGTACTCATCTCAAATTATAGGACTTAAAACAAAATGAATATAATTAGCTCTGAGTTGGCAAAAAGATGTATATAATTAATTTCAGTACTGTTTACTGTTCTGTTTTCTAAACCTCATGAAGTACTTATCTATTTCCCTGAGTTTTACAAGCAAAATTTCAAGTAGAAAAAAAAATGAGTACTCAGTAAACCGTAGTTTTTTAGAAACACAAAGAATATTTCTTGGCAGTTTCTGTTCCAGTGAGGTAAGGAATATCATAAACAACCAGGTACCCACTTTATCTTCTGAAACAAGATGCACATTAGTATTCAGTTAACTGAACTCTGGCACTCCAAACAATTTTGAAAGTTTTCATTCTTTTAGTTTATGGCCTCCCTTGTGCTCTAGGCAATATATTCCTCACTGAAGGCAGGCAGATACTTAACTGTGACAATCAACAGTTAGATGGTGACAGAACAATCTTATCATAGGAGCTCAATCTCTCTCCAAGGGTATGCAGAGTTTATGGTCTTTAATTACTCACCTGGTACCCTGATTCATATCAAGAAAACCATGCACATTTCATCCAAAATGTACCCCTGTCAAAGCACTGTCTACAAGAATGACCACATAGTAAAAGAGAACACAGCAATATAGAAGGGATCCTACTGTACCTGGTGAATGAGGCGGAGGAGAGCACATCAGAACAACCCCCTGGCCTTCCCTCACAGAGACTGCACTTCTTGTCCGGCCACTAAAATTTCCCAGATCTGTCAACATAACACAGCATTTAGATGCAAGCCAAAAACCAATTTAAAAAATCACTATTATTGTAAATTGTACTTAATTTTCTATCAATCTCCTGATGAGGTTTCTTTTTATTTATTATTGGTGAAGGAAGCCTCACCAATATATTTATATCATTCAATTTTAAATATCACAAGTTAAATGAATGTATAGTGGTCATAGAAGTGTTAATTTATATTTACAGTAGACACAGGTTGCCAGTGGAGAAAAAAAAAAAAAACTAGACAAATACAGCATTTTAAACATATAAATACTATTTAATTTCTTAATAATTTCTCTTACTTTTTGATTTTTCTTTCAATAAACCCATCCATTCATAGTAAGAGAAAAAGAAGAGGTTAATGATGCTCCTGTCCAAACTGCTATCTCATTATTTTTCATGCTAAGAATAGTATGTAAAACCAAGCATGAATTTGCCAAATTAGAGACTTGTTTATTCTAACAAAATACTATGAGGAGATGAAATGCTCTTTTTTTATAAATGTGAAAAAGAAAGTCATGTTACTTTCACCTTATGGAAGCCTAAAATTGACTCTACAAATTAATTATAACTCATCCATTTTGATTAGTCTAGGAGTATGACAGCCATGAAAGCACTTACATGGGTGAAGAATTGTATCGTAATTCAATCACCTTCCCTTAAATTTTGTTACATTTGCACAATTTGAAAAAACATTCTTAAAGAGAAACTGGCCCAACAGTGGATATGTAACTTCATTTATGTTTCTATTATTGCCTATTAATCTACTTATAATTTAGGACATATGCCCTTTCCTTTTTCTTTAGCTAGGCTGATGAAAGGCATGATTTTTTTAGTATAGTTTCTTGAAAATCTTGAGTTCAATATTTTTATAAACAAACACTGTCCCAGAATTCTGGGTCTGCTAATTCTTGTTTCCATGGTGAGAAATATTTCTTGAAAATGTTTTGCTATTCCTTCCATTATATGCTAATTATGAGAGATTTTTTGAATTAATTATTCCATGCTCAAATATTGTTTCATAGCAATACAAGTTACAGCCTCAAATCTAATACTTATTCACCTGACAAAATGATGAAATTAATGAAGAAACTAAATTGGATAGATAGGAAGGAGATAAATTACCATTCTTAAATATTCTAAGAGGAATACTCTATATTATTGTTTTTGAGAGACAGGAAACAATTTACTTATTTGGTGAATTTATAATCAAATCTCCTTAAATACAGCCATACTCATGGGAGTCTAATAAACAGTGAAGACAGGATATCAAATACAAAGGTAGTGATTGTGAAATGTTTTAGGACTTTATAAATAATTCCACATTTCATGGTAAGTAGGTAAGCTTTTCACAAATTAGAACACAAATAAGAAAAATACCAGTTTTAATTCTTTTGGGGGGTTGATGTTATTTAAAAACCCTACATTCTAACTTGTGTAGCAAAAATCAAGCTCATTCATTTTACAATGTACATATTTCACTAAGATTACTTCTTTGATTTCTAAGTACCGTTAGCCTCATTTCAAACTTTATATATATGAGGTAATGCAATATAAACATTTTTGAGTCTGAAGCAAACAAACATATATGATTCATGAATTTAAACTCATATACATTGATTTTTAGGCTGTATGTATTCCAGCAAGTGATCTCAACATGAAGATTAAAGATGGTTAGTTTTCTAGTTGGACTTCCATTGACTCTACTCCTAGAAATCTAGCACAGAAATCTTATACTGTGGCAATGGATGCTATAGGGCTTAAACACCTCTTCGGGGGTTGTATGGTTTTACATGCTTCTTTCTTCCTTACTGAATTTATAAATTGGGTGGATACTTTATTGATTTTTACTAAATTTCTTAAATTATTTAAAAAATGTTTTACAGTATATTTATTGTAAGTTTATATTATTCATGTTAAGGTATTTCAAACCAACCAATTGTATTTAAAAGAACATTTCAATAGAAAACAATCCTAAATTAATGCTTACTTCTGAGCAATTGAAGTAAAAGCATTACTTGGAAATTATACCGTGGGATAATTATGACCTGAATTGTGTTTAGAGATCACAATGACCCAAAAAGATCACATTAGCTATAATTGCTTTATTTTGTATCACCTGTTAATACAATTCAAGACTTTCTCAAGACTTTCTCTGTCATTATTTATTTCCTAGTAACTGTAGCACCAGGAATATAAGAATGGATACTTTCAAATTAAAAATAGACCTTTCTTACATAAAGCCATACATAGAAATAACAGATGTTTACACTTCTATACAATGTGTTTTTCTCACTTAATGCCTTCCTGTAAAAAAGTAAAATAGTAAAAACAGTATTATACGTAATGTAGAAGTGGTCTTTGCATCAGGCAAGATACTGGTTGATCTAAGGCAGAATGATTTATGTGAGAAAAGTCTTGGTTGGTGTGGAGATGGAGGCTAGAGAAAGTAAAGCGGAAACACAGCTGTCTGTATCTCACCAACAGAAAGCAGTTCATTTGGAGGTAACAATTATCAGGAACCTTGGGAATATCTCAGTGGATGTCTGTGCAGTTTGGATGCTAATCACACTATCTTTTTTTTCTTAAGATTACTTTATTTTCCACATAACCTAAGGATTATATGATCTGACATAATTAAAGAATACATTTTCTTGGGTTATAATTCTCCCATCATTAATGTGAGTGCTGTCTGCTTTCATAAGGTTTTCTCTAGACTCCTCGGTTTCATATGATTTCACTGATCTCTCCACATCCTGGAATGATTGATGTTTACGGTTTCTTCTCTCATTCTAACTCTGAAGTTATTCAGCATTTATTTTCAAGGAGTTGTAAAGATGGAGTTTCTCTGAGTTGAGTTTTTAACAAAGTAACCTGTTTACTTTGCATTCCCGTTTCCTAATCCTTCAAGTTGCCAATATCATTATGCTATAATTTTTGTGAGTTCATTTCTTAGCATTTATGTTACTCTGACTGCAAATTCTTTTCATTGTTGAGCCCTAGAGTGAACTGTGACTTCATTTTTGTTCCTGTACAACTTTTCCTTTTCCTTAGAGCTAATTATTTTGCATATTAGGCAAGACAGAAGAGGCTATACTATAGTAACAAACCACAGGAAGAATGTTAAAGAATTTGGTTGTGTTTTAAACTACCACATTTAACTTCTCAAATTCACTGGACAGAACCAATCACATGATTGTGTCTGAGAACAGGAACAGGGCTGGGGATGCTCAGTGGTGTTGCGTCTGCCTGGCAAGTGCAAGGTCCTGAGTTTGATACCCGGTATCAGAAAGAGAGAGGAAAAAAAAAAAGAGAAGGGGGGGAGAACAGGAATATATTCCTCCCATTTATCCAGAGGAAAAGAACCATTCAGGTATGAGTGAGCACTACGGCAAATCTCTACCACATCATCCTTTATCTGTTTCTTCCCTCTGTTTTCCATGTAATTCTTAATAATTCAACCTCAAATTCTCTGCCAGTTGCCTTCTTTGAGGAAGTTCATTTCTATGAGCTTTTCTGTCAATTTTTATTTTCCTGAGGTGGGCGGGGGGCTCTCTCCTACAATCTTCTGCCCTGTCCAGTTTAGTCTGTTTGTCCTCAGTATCCACTTCAGAGATGATCTTGGGGTCTCCCTTCACCATCTTCCTAGGTATTTCCTGTCTCTCTTCACAGATACAGTTGTTTCTTGTAGCTCATGTCTTCTCTAGTCATTTATGCCTTTGTGTGTGTGGATGTGTGCGTGACTTCAAGTAGCTTCCTGAACCGCTCCTGCCCCGACGTGTCCCAGAGCTGTAGCTCGATCCTCTTGCCAGGCTCAATCTCCAGTAGGTGGGAGAAGAAGTCCATGCTGACCGGTGGGGTCGCAGGCGGGGGAGCGCAACCCCGGGGAAGTGGCCCTGGGTGAAGCGGTGCAGCAGGCACGACTTGCCCCCGGTGGAGTCCCCGATCAGGATGAGGCGGAACTGGTAGATCCAGATGGTCTCCATCGCTCACGTGGCCTGCGCTCCCAGGCCGCCCCACCTGCCCTCTGAGGGGGCTCATCACACTATTTTAATAGATTATATATTTTACATACCAAGGACAAAAACAGAAAACAACCTCTTTGAGCGTGGAATCTATGTTTTCAATTTTCACAAGATCAGAAATATATCTTCATATTTTCTATTTTGGATCTTTAAGAGGAAAAGGGATTTAAAATACAAATGCCAGTATGACAACTCTAAAGTTCTAGTTTAAAATATAAACTGAAATAAAATTTTCTTATGACAGTAGTCAAGTGATAGACGAGAGAGCAAGGTTTGTGATCAAGAATCAGATTTAACCTTTCTTTTAGTTCTTTAGTTTTTAGTTTTTTATTTAACCTTTCTTTTAGTTGAACACAAGCAGCATTTAATAGGGGCTTGACATAGGATTGCCACTTACAGAATTACTGTGCATTTTTATCTTAGTGAAGCCATGTGAAGATAAAAAGATATATTAATGCCATGGCTGCCCACCTTAGATGACAATGTAGAGTAAGGATGCATAATTTCAGCCATTTTGGCCAGAGATAAGACAAACCACATCACAATTTATTTAAGAAATATTTATTCCACACATAATATAGACTGAATACTATTCTAGGTACTGGTGATGCAGAAAAAACTTATAAAGATTATAGAAATATGAATCAGCCATAGCCACTGGGCCAACTATTTACATCAGTTGGTCAAAACTACCCTCATGAGTAACCAATATAATTACCCTAAATGTGAGCTACAAACATGCACATAAACACACATTCACGCTCAGTCTTTTTCTTCCTCCCTCCCAACTTCTGTTACTGACTTCTTCCCTGAATTAAAAATAGACACACACACACACACACATACACTTTTTAAAAAACATTTCTGCATGGCCCAGACTGGCCTCAGATGATCCTCTTACCTCAGTCTCCTGAAGTAGCTGTGATGACAGGTGCTTGTCATAATACCTGGCTCATAA